GGCTATTCCCATAGTCAACAAAATACCTTATGACTAGACTAAAAATTCTGGTTTCTTCTCAGATGACACAAGATACACACCACTTTGTGTGTACACATCACATTTGCTAAATTTGCTTATATAACGCTATATTAAGTGTTTTAATGAACCATGCTATAGGCTTACAGGAGTACTCTGCTAAAGACTATCAGCCTGCAGACTGGCTAAAAGAATGTCACTCATCTATAAATCCCTAAATCCATGATGAAGCAACCAACTGACATGTCCAGAAACACACGCTTAAAATCCATCACATTCTCAAGCTTCCCAGTGACTGTGAGGTAGAACAATGGAAGGAGCAATCATCGTAATAACCAGCAAATTTATCAAGAACAATAGAATATGATGAGTCAACTGAGATCATCGAGACACCTGACACTTTGCAAAGGGGTGTGTTCACTGTACCTGCTGCATGCAGAGAACGGCAGGAGGTACTAGTAAGTGAAGGTCTGGAAACTAACAAGGTCCAAATACGAAAATTATTTCATACAGCAATTGCCCTAGTGCACACTGCTTAATCTCTTCCATTCTAGATCTGCAGGAAAAAAAAAAGGTATCAGCTGAATAAGCATAAACAAGGACAGACAGGGCTACTTTTTAAAAATGCTGATTTCTCATTATATGCATCTACATGTGAAGTACAAGAACCATCATACTCAGAAAATACTGTTTACATCCACTATGAAGGAAAAGCTCAAAAGCTAACTTGTTCCCTGGTTAGCTGATCCAATGAGCTTCATTGAACATATCACGGGTATTTTTCAAGCTCTGGGTATGTGCATTCAGCAGTGATAAATAGGCATGATACAGACACAGGATCAAGCCTTACCTTCTCCCTTGGAATGTTCCATCTACAGTTGAACCTGTGGTGTTAACCCACAACCCTTTAAGCTTCTGATTACTCATGCCTCTGAATTAATTTCATATATATAAGTAATTTTGAGGTTTCTTACAAAGCATTTATATATGGAAACACAGCAAAACAAAACCACACACAGACACTCTGGTGTCTGGAATTATGTACTATGCTCACTAGGATTTTACATTTTATTTACAGGATCTCAGTTTAAATGAAATGCCTTCTATAACTGCACTCTTTTTGGTTACTTACCAAAACCTGTAAGGAGAGTAAAACACAACTGTGGTGTGTATTAGGGTGCATATGATGGAACAGACATTTTAAAAAGCAGATTTTATTTTTGCAGAGTAGTAAAACCCACAACAGAACCTGGTAAACCCCAGAACTATCAAATATAGAATAATTTTTCACTACTACTACCAGAGATCCAGCTCCACTGGAAACACAACGACACAAGTACTAGAACAGACCAAGCACTGGCAACCCCCAACCTCCTACCTAAAACATTACCACTTGCTTCAAAAACGATTAGGTGAGAAGGTTTTCTTGTGTGTTAAATACCCTAGCACCATCTACTATTGCTATTGCTACTGCTAGTACTGGAGTACCGAAATGGCTGTGTTTGGTTGTTCAAGAGTTATCCCTGAAGGGTTTTTCGTCTATGTATTTCTCAAGACAGTTCAAGCTCATCTGGAGCATCTTCGCTATTAATGTCACCTTGCCTGTGATTAGATTTCTTGCTGCATTTGCTCTCTTCCAATCATCTCTTCAGGACTTGAAAAAAAACCCAAACAAAAAACAACAACAACAAAAACCTAAAAATCCAAATAAAATCAAGATAAAAGGATTGAGCTCTGGCACAATATTTTCTTACACTTACAGTTTTACAAATTTTATGCCTACCTTAACTAAAAGGCTCAATTATAGTAGGAAACCAAGTAGAAGCCTGTCTTATCTACTTAATTCCCTTCCAGGTAACTTCCAGTTCTGCATTTCACAAATCACTCATACTTTAGTTTTATAGGGTTTAAAAACAATTATTTGCTGATAATTTGAGAAAGGTCACATATTGTTCAGCAGTGTCTGGCAGGAGCACATTGAAGTCTGAAATATGTTCACTGAGCAAGAAGCAAGTTCAATCAACTCTCCTCCTTAGTAAGCATTTATCAAAGTAATTACAAAAATGACAATGCACAACATAAGCACAACTTAATTTAAATTTCCTCAAAGGTAAAGTAATAATGTTACAGAGGCTGATTAATGAAATAGATGGTGTTTTAACCTGGGACATTCCTAACTGTCTTTAGTGCTAAAGTAATTATATCCAAAAAGAATCAATCAGGTAGTAGATGTCTTGAAATACAACTGCAATTCTGTAATATTGCTGTCATCATTAATTGAATGTATTTTAATAATTGAATCAAAATACAGGATCACAAAAATCACAGTAGATCTGTATGGCACACCTCACCTACCCCACTCCGCAGCAGGGCTAATCAGCCCAAGAAGCCTGTACTGCTGTATACTGTACTGCTTCCAGTAGCACAACACAGCTCATTGTCACCTAGTTTGTGTGCCTCTGCACAGCATTGTAGTGTCACATAATCATATCCCGAGAAACAATGAAAACTTAGCAAAAAAAGATAGCATAGACACAGACTCCACAGCATTTACCCATATCAGTGTATGTCCTACATGAATCATCTAACACTTCTATGACATATCATTGCCCACACAATGGAATATTCAACAGTTAACAGCACACACGCAAACACAAATCTATATTATAAATCCCCCAAACACAGCACTGAATGAGATACCTGCATCCTTAGAGAACCTCACTTTGTGCTTGCTTCAGAAAGGAAGTCCTTCCTCTCAGTTACCTCAAGGATAGAAGAGATCTGACCATGGCTATACAAAGTTCATAGCTTCTTTATATATAATCCATCATTCTCCAGTAAACAGAAAGTTTAGGCTGTCTCCAATAACCAGGAAGTTTAGACTATGTAATTCTGCAGAACCATAAAAACATGGACCCATGTGTACATACATGTACACATGCCAGCATCACATATATGTGCTTCACATGATTCCTACTTTAATCATATAGAAACATTTCCCCCACACCAAGAGTTAGAATATGCCTGGCTACAGCACAAGTACATCCTCTCTTTTATTTCTGGAAATGTAAATAAGTTATATAAGATCTGGTGACATATCACATACCTGGTCACAGTTTGTTATTAACCTTCTTCAAGTATTTTGTTGATAAAACCAAAAATCAATATTTAAGAAACGCTCTGCCCACTGGCAAAGATTTCTATGACATAGGAATGTCAGATTTCTATGACATATTGTATGCCCATTTAAAAATTTCCAAGAACTCCATCTAAAACCAGCATATAATGAAACTAAGCATATCTTTATAGCCCACCTATAACTTCCTTAAAAAGCAGATTCACAGCAGAACCTCAGCATTAAGTTCTAACGTCACAAATAGCAAGATATCACTGTTACCAAAGCCTTTTAAAGGAATTTTGTCTTCAAGACATAGGAAAACAGATATGTTGCTGTTTCATAGAAACAGACCTAAAGCCAATGTTATAATGAGGGATATATTTAGCGCTTGCTGAAAGCATCATAGCTGATATTTTCTTGTATAGCTGGCACTCAGTTCTCTACTGTTTTTCCAGAGTTTTCCCCCTCAGCAAATCCTCTATACTACATAAACTAGAGCTATTTTTAGTGATTGTCAGATTTGAAGACTACAAATCTCTGTAATTATTGCACCTTCCTCTTCTTGCATCTAATCTCTCAATTAAAACAAATATGTCCCAGAAAAAAACTTTGAAGAGGCTGAATCAACAAACTGCTTAAGTGAATGAGATGCAAAGCCAATCCCTTACGCATACAGAGCCTATAATTAGTCAAAATGCTGTTCACAGTGAGGCTGAGGCTCAATAAAAATTAAACACTGAGGCAGGCAAGGCATTCCCATGGGGCTCACATTTATTAATACATTACCACTCACCAGTTGCTTTATGTCAAAGTAACTGGGACACTGCTTGAAGTTGGCTGGCTGACTAGTTGATAAAATAGAAAGCTATTGGCGATATTTTATCTTATTTTCATATCCCTGCTGTCATAAACAGGCCTCTTAACAGTCACATGCTCACAATGGTGCCAAACAGGAATGACTCCAGTTCTGACTGATCAGAGAAAGACACTTCCTAGATTCTGCATGCAGACAGACACAGTTATGCCTTTGAAATCAGTCCAAACCAGTACAACCCAGCACCGTCTTTCCCCAGACCTCTGAGGATGAGGCAGGCCATCAGTTTCCTAAAACCATATCTGAATTTAGCTCTTAGCTTGATTAGGATGCAGTCAGCAGTCCACACTGCAGTGACGACCTTTTTAAGCAAAAATGCAAAATGATTTAGGTGGCTTCATTACTATGCAGAAGGCAATTTATAGAAACATGAATATAGAGAATAAAATAGTTTCGAACTATGATTATTTCAACTTCAACAGGAGAGAGCCAAAACAATGGATGTTTATGGAAACCCTCTTTCAAGCTACAGATGAGTAACACATGAATGTATCAATCCTACAATTCATAAGCTCCTTCAAATTCCTCAGAAACTGAGGCACTCCTGTGTCAAGTTAAAATAAATAGCATATCAACTCTTCTAGTAAGCCAATTAAAACCCTTAAACATTAAATATGTAGCTAATAAAATGTTGAGGCTATAAATAGTAAGCCACTGTTATTGTTGTACTACAACAATATCAATTGATAAGGCTATAAAAGCACCTCAAGCTGCAACTGCAAAATGATTCCTTGCCTTCGAAAAGCATGCTCCAAAATGAATGGGATGATGTCCTGAAGTTTCAGTTCTTATCCAGAAATCCTCTGTTATGTTAACCTTTCATAATTTGTCTTACTCTGTTCTTACAAGGTCACCTTGATTCCCATTTCTGCAGCAGAATCCAGCCTTTCGTCAATGAAGCATGAGGATCATTCAAAGAGAAAATGAATACATGTTGCTACTGCATGGCTTTAATTCTCATACACAAATCCTAGGCCAGTTTATACTCACCTTTCGCAGGAGGAAGCAAATACGCTCAATATTTCTCAGCCGCTCTCTCTGTCAAAAAAGTGCAAGAAAAGGAGGAGATTCTCTTATGTTCTCAATTACAATGGGTCAAAATCATAATTAATGGCTGCAGGGAAGCAATTACTCTGAAACATTAGCATATGCTTCTCACCTACTGCTTCCAAGCCAAATGATTTACCATTTCAAAGTCATTTTTAAATCTGTTACTGGGTGTAGCAACATAAACTGGGGATTCAAGTCCATGTCAGCCTTGAGTCAGAGGTTAAGTTCTTTTTAAGGCAACATTTTTGGCTCTATCCAATGGTGCCAATCTATACTACAGAGACTTGCTCTTGCATTTTCATGTACCCAACCTCTGGCTTCAAGATAACTCTGAATGGGAAAAACAAGTACCAAGGTAGCATGGCAGTCCTTCTTCTATCACTAAGGGGTGTCTGAATTTAACCCATTAGTGAAGAATACCTGAAATGTCCTAGAAAGGCCACTTTAAATACAGATGTATTCACAAATCTTGTAAGTCACTGTAGTAAAGCACTATGACTCAAAATGGTCTAAGCTTGATTCACCGAAAGAAGTCAAAGGCAAGTTTTCTTTTAAATGGCTCAAAATGAGGAATTCAATAGTAAAATCAGATTTCATTCTGCATAACCCATCACTGGAGTTACCATGAGAAGTTCTACTGTCAGTTTTCTGAGGACAAAAACCCCATTCTGCCTTCTGCAGTGTAACCATCTGGTAATATTTTCATTTAGACATGGAAAACGATATTCTGCACGATGACCTTTTTTAAGCAGGTAATGTAAAATACCAATGTGAGAAAGCCAAGTCTCCCTAAGCTTTTTGCTTTACAAGTGTTTTAAATGTGCTCTAAGTTGGAGTTTCACTTCTATTTTCCAAAGAAATGTCTCTTTTCCTTTCCTATCCCCAAGTTTAAGCCATTGAAAAAAATAAAACCAGTATAATTTTGGAAAGACGATGAGGCAGTGGCAGCTCGACAGGCACCAGATAAATATTGTGCCTCTCTCTGATGTCTGTGATCTACAAGAGACTAAGAAATTTTAGACTTATGGTTACAAACATGTGAACAGACTTGTGTGGACGTGCCTGTGAAGCTGCAGAAAATTTCTTGCATTTAGTAGGAAGTAAGTGGAGAAGGAAAGATAATTCTCTCACTTCCCTTTAGAAGACAGATGCCTAACTGCAGCTGGCCTTGGAGAAGTTGGAAGTCTATCTTTGAACTGTAGGTAAGAGAGTGTGAATTAGGAAATCTGAATTAAATTCTCAGTACTGCCATTGTTTTTGGCTCCAATTTTTCCATAGTCAAGTCTTCTCTTGTCTAAAAGAGTCTGTCATGAAAACATTGTGGAAGATAGATGAGTAAACAGCAAACATACAGTGCACTGAAGAAAAACTACCCCACCAAATAAATGGAATATGGACATGAGCAACTATGCACAGGGAAAAAGGGAAACACATCTTCCATCAAGTGTAAGGAATACCTGCTAAAAGTATTCCTTTCATGTCAATATAAAAGTCATTAACATGCATACTGTGCAGAAGAAAGCAGTCTGAGATTATTGTTTGAGTTATCACAGCAAGTTTCATAGAAGAGAGTCAAATACATCAACTGATCACTGAACATATTCCTGTGTTTACTGGAATCTCTACAATAAACTTTTTGATCACATCACTAATATGACTGAAACAGATTATTTTTTTTATCCTGGAGACCCATTCTATTAATATTTTAAAATAAGAGAAAATTATCTCCAGGAAACATCTTACAAATTTTAGGAGGAGAAAAATTAATGGAGTTTGGTACATATAAATACCTTTTTCTTGTGTGCAGTTCTCAAGATGGGAAATAAAAAATAGATAAGATTAATACAAAACAAGATTACTTCCAATTAAGTCCTCTATACAATTTTTTCATATAATTTCTTTCTTCTGCTCTCATTCTTTGCTTGTTAGTGAACTGTAGACAAGTCTTTTAAATTGAAGATTTTGTAAATATCATGGTTAAAATCATCAGCTGTCTAAGGAATACCACAAATCCTCTGCTGAGTTATGAAACAAGGTTAAATGGCAAAGTAGTAGCTACTGAATTTGGCTATCATTTGCAGTAAATTAAATAACTTGGTGCTCTGTAGAGATCAAATTCAGCACCTGCCGTAATCACTGTAATTCCCACTGAGATGAGAGAGAGCCAAGTTCTGCTCTCAGTACTGGTAGTACAGATTTTATGCACATTTAAGTGTAGTCAGCTAAAATCACTCTAGATTACAGCTTTAATTAACAGAGAAATTTTCATATGCTTAAATCTGAGTTGCATTTTGGTTCATTAGGTAAAACTGAGTTTATAGTTCCAGGGTGGTATTTAACCTTTTCCATAGCAGATGCAGCAGAAAGTGTTATTTACTCTTAAAGCAGAGAATTCAGAAGCTGCTACAGGACAAAGAGGTCTAGGAATGTGCTTGTTATCAAATTCCTTTAAGCTTTGACTCATTGATATAGACAGTATGGGAAAAGGTGGTCATCCCATGCTTGAACAGAGAAAGCAAATGATCTCAAAAAGGAAAAGTTGTACCACAGAATGAAAAGATAAAAAGAAGGCATTAGCATCACATATACCCTTTAAAGTCAAACTTCCAAATTATTTTCCTGTCTTTTTCAGCAAAAAGGAAAGCTATCAGCATAGAGAGTTGCCAGATGGCTTCCTAAGACTGGCCCAATCAATTAACTTTCCAAACTACACTTGGCTTCACAACAAACTGTATGCTCATTTCCACTCATACTTTCACTGACAGCTCAGTGCATCTCCCTTTCTTTAAACAACAGCCACTGGCTGTACTCACCGCATGGACTGGGTTGCACTGGTCTATTGGGTTTTTGAAGTCTGTCCGGAGTTCATCAAAGGCAATTATCTGAAAAAGAGTTTTTCAAGTATTATAATGAATGCTCATTCAAACACTTCTTTTTCCTTTAGTTAGACGTATTGTATCCCTTCCTCTTTCCAGAAAACATACTGGAAACTAGCTTCCCCAGCGAGTTCCTTTCAGAACTAACTAGTTAAAACAGAACACAGGATACTCCTACATATGACACATGGAATCCATTACTATCACTGTAAAATCATGTCTGCAGCCTTTCCAGCATCATTGCTTTCCAGATTTCTTCCCTCATATCAATTAGAATTCTTAAACTTTCAAATAAACTATTCTACAAATGAATACATCTCCAGACTTGATGGAAAATGTCCTAAGCTGTCTAAAACACAGAGATGGATCAGATGTGCTATTCCAGGTTTAACACATAAACAACAACCCTTTCTCATTACTTATTTAACATACTTCAGATAGTAAATCTGAATTAGTATCAATTTAATTATTATTAAACTTCTATTTGTTAACAAGCAATCTCCTCAAAAGTTAAACCACTCCAAAGGAAAACATCCTTCCTAAATCCTGCAGGTTTCAGAATCTTACTTTAGACCACATTGATGGAGAGAAGTCCTTTGCTCATATCCTTTAGTTTTCTCCAGTGACTGATGGATTGAGACATGCTGATAATTACTGTCTGCTTTTAAAGTACAGCAGATAAAAGTGCCCATAAAAATAATAATATTTGATAATGTTTTCTTGGAAGAAAAAAGCTGTAATAACCCTCAGCATATTTCATTCAGAGATCTCAAAGCACAATCTTAATGTTAGGTTTGTATTCCAGTAATACCTTTTCTTCTGCTTGCTCCACCCAAACAATGAAAGCTCACTATCACAGGCATCACATAAAGAGATCTTAGAACAGTGATCCCTTTTTAGACAATTCACAACCCAGTAAAATATTTGTTCTCAATTAAAAAAAAAAAAAAGAAATACAAGGTAGCAGTCATGTAATTAACATACAAGCACAACAACTGCTCTATGACATGTTACAGCATGCCTGTTGCCTAGCTGTCCAAAAAATACCCAACTGGGTATCAACACAGGCCTGCTGCATAAAGCATGTTCATTTTACAGATATGCAATGCAGAAGCAGCAAGCTTGTCCATGATTCATATAATAATCTGGTGAGAGGCTTGAGAATAAAACCTGGAGCTACAATCCACAACACTAAGCACTGCTCCGCATCCCACTCGAATGCTGCATTCATCACACTGAAGCATATTTAAAATCGAAAGTGTGGCATTTTATAAAAGCACTCTACAGAATTGAATTTATGCAACTATGGCAAGTAAAAGTGCCAGAATATACCACAAAGGTAAGTATAAAATGTGATTATAAGTGAAGCACTCCTCCCTACAGATGCACTACCTTTAAAAGTTAGGAATTAGATCTGCAACAGATGTTTAGACTAAGATAAAACCACAAATAACAGAAACTTTGAGGGGGTTGGAGTACAATTGTGAAGAGTAAGGCTCATGACACCTCTATTTAATACCTTTTGAATAGCCTTTCATATTCTCAAGCTGGGCCAACTGTTGAGGGTAACATCCATTTGAGTTAGATGCACATACTTCTGTTTGCAATTGGGCATCAAGATCAGCACTAACGGTAAGGGAGAAGGATGGCCCTGTAACAGGTAAGAGAGCTGCCTCTGTTCCTAGCTCTGCCACTGATTTACTTAGGGATCCTGTGCATCTCCCTTGAATTCTCTTTGCTTCACTGCACTGGTACTTACACACATAGCTTTAAGACAGAAAACTGTTACGAGCTTTGAGAGATGACTATTTGTAATAATGCACAGTGGTAACAGCTTTTCCTTCTGTTGTAAATGTAGAGATGAGCTGAAATGTGCTGCGCTCTTTTTTTTTTGGTAGTCAGGAACAGCAACTAGGAGTTTGAGATAATAATGAAATCAGAGCCAATACAATATCCATCTTGCGAGGGAAGACTTGTCTGAGACAACAAAATGGGGAACCCAAATGTTGAAATCCAAAGATGGATCCCCTTCAACAAGTCCAGGAAAGCCTCTGAAGATTCACTGAATGCTGACAGAATGATAACCCTGAAGCATGTTTAGATGAAGAGCAAGGCTGCTCTGAAAGACAGAATCATTAAGGCAGAGCTCTGTTGAGCTAGCCTGAACTATTGCAGCTAAGTCTTGAAGAAATCCTAAATGGCAGCTTTGGAAACAGGTTACACTCAAACTACATATTTACATTTCCCAATATTTTTCCTTTCTCTTTTTTTTGTGAGCATTCCCAACTTTGTAGTCAAAACCCTGCTCTAAATTTGCTGGCATGCGATTTATTTTATGCTTTACTTGCATTGTATCTAAGCACACTGAAAAAATCTGACAGTATTGGGGATATTATTTTCATGTAAATGTAAATACTACACCAGTAAGTGTAAATACTATAGTCTCATAGACAAACCTCTGGGGATGCCTGCAAATTATGACAATGCTAAGAGACATTCCCACTACATCTGCAAGAAACAGACTGATGTGTGGTATCAAGCACACAGGACTGGAGGAAAGCTTCTTGAATAAAAGTTCCAGTGCCTCTCTGGAGTCTGACAGAAACAAATCCTCCTCAATTTTAATATATTATTTCATAAAAGCTCCATAATAGTTTATATTTTGTTAAATCTGCAGGAATAGAAATCCAGTGATGACATAAAGGTATCTATTTTCACTTATGAAAAAGTGCATTTCTATTTCTCAGTCACAGTGAAAAGCTTTAAAGGGTAACATTAGGCAGGCTCACAATTAAAAGGAATGTAAAGACACACAAAGTTGGGGGGACATGTTTTATTGTGGGGGTTTTTTGCATTTTGTTTTGGTTATTTTTTTAATATCACAATGTTGAGTGTCTTAATTCTAAAGATGCAATTGAGAAAGATGTAGCTTCTTAAGATTGGCACTTGCTAGCAATACACCACATAACTGTGCAACAAATTATACTGTATTACTGAAAATCAGGCTGGGTTGTGCTGCAGTGTGGTTTATATCATTAATTAGGAAGCATCTTCCACTTTCAATTACAACCAGCCTTCTGCAGCAGTTAATGGCCTAGGGTTGGCCAGAGTTGTCATTTTCCCTCACAAAAACCAAAAAACTACTTGCCTCCATTGAGTATTTCATAACGCTTTCATAGGAGGTGCAGTGTTCTGGCCATACTCTGGAGAAACGATCTCCTGCCTGTTTCCATTTCAGTTAGATGCAGTACAGCTACCTGTTTCCCATACATGAGCTGCTCAGAGTTGCTGAATGCCCTGGGATGCCATTCAGATATGCTCAAGGTCTGTTTCACCTCTGAAACTGCCACACTTGTCAGCATCTTGACAGAGCAGTTCATTTGGACACAAACGATATAACAGATCTCAGTCAAAGCACTTCACGGTACGAATTGTTTACCCACCTAATAAAACTAAAGGTTTAGAGAAACACTGCTTGCATTCCCTGGTGATTCACCTTCATAACTGAATGTATTTGATAAATCATTCAATATATTTTAGTTACCTAATTTGATCCAGGATGGCAATTAAGACTACAAAACACACATAGGCATGGACATCAGCAACCTCATCTCTGCAAAGGCCACACAATAAAGAGACTGTTCCAAAGAAAAATGACTAGCCTCTAGTCAGAAAGCTAAACAGACAGCACATGGAAACATGTCCTAGGGACTGATCTTAAACAGAGGAGAAACTTATTTCTATTAGTAAATATTAACATTGTACACTGCTTCATTGAAGGAGAGTAAGAATCATTTGCTATTCAGAATCAAAGAATCATAGAATAGTTAGGGTTGGAAAGGATCTTAAGATCATCTTGTTCCAAACCCCTGCCATGGGCAGGGACACCTCACACTAAACCATGTCACCCAAGGCTCTGTCCAACCTGGCCTTGAACACCACCAGGGATGGAGCATTTACAACTTCCCTGGGCAACCCATTCCATTGCTTCACAGTAAAGAACTTCTTCCTTATATCCAATCTAAACTTCCCCTGTTTAAGTTTGAATCTGTTACCCCCTGTCGTACCACTACAGTCCCTAACAAAGAGTCTCTCCACAGCACCCCTATAGGCCCCCTTCAGGTACTGGAAGGCTGCTCTGAGGTCTCCATGCAGCCTTCTCTTCTCCAGGCTGAACAGCCCCAACTTTCTCAGCCTGTCTTCATGCAGGAAGTGCTCCAGCCCCTGATCATCCTCATGGCCTCCTCTGGACTTGTTCCAACAGCTCCACGTCCTTTTTATGTTGAGGACACCAGAACTGCACACAATACTCCAAGTGAGGTCTCACAAGAGCAGAGTAGAGGGGCAGAATCACCTCCTTCGACTTGCTGGTCATGCTCCTCTTAATGAAGCCCAGGATATGGTTGGCTTTCTGGGCTGCGAGAGCATTTATCTAGGAGCTTCAAGAAATAAAACCACAAAGTTCTCTATTTGCAAAGCTAAATCAGAAACAAAAAAGCATCAGGTTGAGCAATATTTATGATTACTGCAGAATGTGCCCAAGGATTGACAAGGCCATGGATATTGAACTATTTTCTGACTTATGGAGCTTTCCCTGTGATTCCACATTGCAAAACATGGCAGGAAGTTTGTTCTGCCACTCTGCTATTGTCTGTTTACAGAAGTGCACTTGTGGGTGTTATCCACCTCATAAAACTAAAGGTTTATAAAAACACTGTTTGCATTCCCTGATGATTCACACCATCTGCAAATCTCAGAACCCCAAGTGTAAGTCAGCTAGGAGTTTGCCCCAGTTTCAGCACATACCAAACAGATGAGATTGTGATAACATATGTTTCAGTACAGCTATAATTGCAATTATATTTATAAAATTCATTTTCATTACCTGCACTCTGTGCTCATCTTTCCTGACAATAACAGCTTTGAATAATGAAGTGTTCACAAGATTGAACCTGAATTCTGGGTTTTATTCCTATGCTTATGCATCCATCAAACTGAAAATTTCA